TATTTTTCTACAGGTTTTATTCACAATCAGCTGGTAACTTGTCTCCAATCAGAGGTTTTGAAAAACAAGTTGTTTTGTTTTGCTGTACATAAATTACAGATCACAAAGTTGAGATTTCATAAAAGTCTCCTAAGGACAATAAATTATATGACCTTGATTCTTCACAGATATTACACTTAAGTAGTTATTACTTTCTTTGAGAAACCCATATAGTTACATGTTGTCATGGAATTAACTAGTTCAATCTATGCCCATGACAGGGGGTAGTAGGCCCCTGCTCTCTCCCCGCCCCCCCACCCTCCCACCTCAGCCCCACAGAACGGGAAGGAAAAGGGAAGAGGGATAGGGAGATGGGAGCTGGGCTCAAGGAAGGAAAAAAAAGAAACAACGGCAACAATGGAGGAAAACTTATTTTACTAACCGTGATATCGGAATGCAAGATAACACAATATAATACAATCTAATTGAAATTGAGACTAATAAATAAAATAAAATAGGAGAGAGAAAGAGTTCCTGAGACCGAGTCAAACCTAAAATTCTTGGTACAGCTAGGAAAGCACCCTCCAGTACCCACTGCAAGGCAGTAAGAGACCATCCAACCCAGAAGGGCCAGATCCCCTGGCTTCAGGGGACGTACAGGGACAGGTACCCAGAACTGGAGCATTAACACTTTAACTCCCAGTGCACTACATGACGTTATGGTATGGGATACCGAAAACCAAAAATTGCAAAACCATGACGCGTGTGAACTCAGACTCGCTGAAGATGCGCACAAAATATTTCAATTCTTATTGTGTCTTGTTAGAGATCTGATTTCTCACTCCAACTGATTATTTATAGTACCTAGTTATAAAAAAAAGATTGAAATGTGAAGATTGCTGTCAAATACAATTCAATTATTCACTTAAAAGTTTGCATTTAATTTAAAAATAAATTGCATTTAATTCTAGTTTATTTCTCTTAAAATAATACTGGACTACTTTTGCAGATAATTTCTGTGTTTAGATCTTGGTAATCTCTTTTTGTAATCTTTCCTCAACACATGACAGATTGCACTGCCCACCTTCTAGTTAGCAATTATCTGAATTTCTAACTCATAAAAGCGCTAGTAACTGAGATTTCACAGGCATTTTTTCCTGTTAAAAATAAGGCATTTCAGGCGGAAGCACTGGTATCTGTTACAGCTTGTGAGATTATGAAGCAGAAAGTGTTAATTAAACCTTTATTTATATTCAAAAAGATATATGCAATCCTAAGTGCCTTCATCTGTAATGTAACAAAGTTAATAGTAAACGCTGCTAATCCAGTGTGCTTAGAAGTGATATTTTTGGAGATAACATTTCAGATACTTGTGACTGCTCATCTGTTATGAGTAGATTAGCAATGTTTTTGGAATGAAGAGCTTGTTCGTGCTGCCCTCCCCTTCTCTCAGTGCTCAAAGTTGTCTTGTCTTCTTGTCTCATCTCCCTGAAATATTTACTGTTCCTTGTCTGCAGTACCAGTATCTCTTGGGAAAAAAGCATTTCAATCCATCAAGTTGAGCACACGTTCTGACATTGTTAGGTTGAGTTCTTGGTATAAATCAGTCCAGCAGTCACTTTAGGATGGAGTAGTTTTGTGTTGATCTCCTCTTTCTGGTCACCTACACATTGATCGGCCTCTGCTGTGGTGATTTTCTTTCCTCTGTCCATTTTTTCTTATCCACTGACTACCCAGCGTGTACTCTTATTATATGAATACCAGCTTGCAGCATTTGAGCTCATCAGTGATTTACTGCAGACTGATATTAACTAATCTTTTCCACAGAACGGATTTGTCTTTTCTGTACCAACCCAGTCTCAAACAGATTTTGGGGCCATATGCCCTTTGTCCAAGCACTCGGAGGTCAGTAACAATGAACTGTGGTGGCCCAATACATAGCTGAGAAAGCAGACATGATACAAAGCTAATGAGTTTGTGAGTTTGTACCAATGTGGTCTGAAGAAAAGGCAAATGATCTCCATCAGAGATTATGTTCTCCAGCAGCTGAAGCTTCAAGATATTTTTCTCAGACTGACCACAAAATAATGTTAGGAAGGGAGTAACACACGTTATTCAAAGCATGGAGGTGTCCAGAGATTTCTAAGACAACTGCTACTTGAGACTCAAGAAGCAGAGAGATAGCTAAAATCTCAATAGTTTTTGAAATTCTGTGCCTTGAGCTGAGCTAAATCCACCTATAGATAAAGCTGCTGCAGTCTTTGTCAATTCCTGCACTTCCTCCTTTAGTGATAACACACCTGTATTACAAAAGCAAAGACACAGTATAATTTAGAAATAACATAAAGAGTTAAAGAGTATTATATGACTACTAATCAAACTGAAAATAAAATGAAAGAAATCCCCCTAAGAAAATGTTTATTTTGCTGTATTCAGCAATGAAAGTAGGAAGAAGCATATTAGTGGGTATGTCATTATATTATGAACACAAATATTCAAATCAGTGAAAGGTCCTTTGTGTCCTTGACTTCTACAGCATAAATTTTTGAATCTCTGGCCTCGTAAGGACTTAGTAAATCACAAAGTGCTGGCTGGTCATCGAATTCCCCTTGCTCTTTTGTAAACATTACAGTATTATTGGCAACCTTTGGCTCTATCCTTCAAATTTAAGGCATATGTAGTGGATGCCTGTTCTAATTCAAGTAACATGGTTAACATCTTGTTCTGGCTTGAGATTGAGGAAATATGGACACATCTTAAATCCAGTGGAATTTTATGTCTTAAAGCACATAGCACTTGCTAAAACTGCTTCCTTCAAGCACAGGATTTGCTTCACACTACTCTCTAGGAAGTCAGTGGTGTTTAAAATAAACCTGCAAAAATATTCTGTTGGATCACAGCTTAGGGTGGTAAAATACAAGTACGGGTTTTCCAATCTCTTGAAGAAGCAGAATGCTTGTTAGGGCAGGAGCCTGAGCGAAGCAATGGTGGTGTTTTCCCATTGCAACTCCACCACATCTTGGTTCCCCCTCTCTAGGAGGGTTTCTCTTAGCCACGATCTTAGCGACATCTCAGGATCCTGTGACACTGTGCCCTATCGACTAGAAATCTAAGTGGAAACTCTGCAAAATAATTAGCAGATTGCTTTGCTAATCTGCATTGCCAGAGGAACAAAAAAGCTTAGTGTTTGTTGTTGTGTTTTGTTTCTTTTAAAGAATCTTTCTTGCATCTTTGTAATTGTTTGTTTTTAATTAGTCCAAAAGTTTATCTGTCGTGCTTTTGAACAGAACACACGCATGCAGAGCTTATTTTTCCTATTGGCTTAAGACTGCTAGTTTTGACACCTTTGTAATAAATCTGTTGGCTAGATGCAAAGCTTTGGGCTTGGCAGGTCTTCAGGAAATCAAGAGGGGAGGTAGCAATACTTGAAAGAGCAGTTCCAAAGGCTATAGATTAACAGGAAACGTTTCCAACTGAGTTAACCTATTTAAAAGTAGCAAATACATGAAAAGGGAAGCTGGTTAGAGTGAATTACCAAAGAAGTGTTACTTCTGGTGAAGTGAATTTCAGCACAAAAATCCATCTTTCTGAATGTCTCTAATATTTCTGCCTTAGCCCTGAAGGACCATGGGGATACTATGCAATCTCTACCACCTACTGTTTCCTACTGTCTGGTTTCATACCTTCAGAATTGCAAAGCTGATTTGAAAAAATAATAATAAAAATTTCTTATGGTGAAACCAGATGGGATGAATATTTATGACCAACATTGTAACACATGTATTACTAGGCCCAATAAGATTTAAAGTTTGTAACAAGTAGGCATCTTCATGGGGTAATTCAGAATATATATCTGGGGGACTACTTTTAGCAATGAGAGCATTTCCCTTAAGGGTTTGAATTCTTGGATGCTGCTGGAGTATCATTATCCTTACAGATGTCAAGCTGAAAAAATTTGGGGCCTAAATAGCACTGCAGAAACTAAATACATCTGTTTTTTTTTTTTGAGCCTTCAGAGACAGATAAATGTCATTCATTAAATTCTTCATATACTCAGTGGAAAGAGGAAAGCTCCTAGGCAGACTTCTTGTTCTGTCTTCTAAGAGCAACTCCTCCTATACTATCTTTTCTCCCTCTTCCCCCCACCCCCCCCGAAAATCAGTTACTACCACTTTTTCATATTCCTCCTCACAATCTTCAATATTTTGAAAAACATCTGTAATGGTATTCTATTTCCCTCAAAGGAAAATTTTGGAAAATCACCACATATTTTGGAAACATCTTTATTCTTCAGTGTAGTTGGATAGAATTAGTGTATCCTGTCTCCCTTTCACCCACCTAGCTGGAGCACGGGGGATCACAGGATCAAAGTCAATATAAGGACACCCACCTTTTGAGGAGGATTATTCAGATTTCAGATTTCAAGTGGTTCCATACAATACTTTTCTTTCTCCAGTAACTAAAAAGAATTTGGGCATGTGTGCTCATGTCCCAGAGTTTTGAAAACCTCTATTAAAAAAAAAAAAAAAAAGTTTTTAAAAAATGTCTTTTATGGAGGATGAAATGATATTTCCATAACAGAGATTATTAAAATAACATGAGTGGTTTCCCCTGGAATGCATATCTTTATGCAGAGTATAAATAAAACAAACAACACAGTATTTACATCCCTGGAACTTCTGATGAATATAGTTTTTCTCTTTTGAGAAATCTATCCTAAATGTTCCTTATTATTTCTGAGTTTGCAAGCAATTCTTGAAGAACTACTGATTGCAAAAATTTGCATTACAGAGAACAAAAAAAAATCGCATGATATAACATATGTTTCACAGCATTTCAGTTCTTGAACTGTTCTGAGAACACTGCAAATTTATTTAGGCATAATCAGAAAATTTCAATCTCTCATTCTAATAAATGACTACTGGAGCTACTTATGAAAAGATTGTCCTTCACTTTGCATCCTGTGTTACAATGGCTCTTATTTGTTTAATAATTTAGTCTCTTTATATTATTTTTATTAGAATGACATGGGAGGTCAGCGGAGCCTAATAAACAAATGGACTACTTTTCTGAAAGCCAGGCTTGTGTGTTCAATACCTGGTCCTGAGGGAGCTGACACACATTTTGATGAGCTACGTAAGTTGATTTATCTTTAATAGCTTATTTTGTCATCAGATTTGCTTGTGCTTCTTTTTTCCTTATTATTCTTTACAGAAGTACCACATCTTATTCTGATTTTATTAATTTTCCAAGAAGTACTGACAGTATCTAAGAATGATTGTTGTAAGCAATCTGAGAGGAACAGATGGTCCTATATGTCAGCTAGACTCTATCCTTAGAGAAGTGTACTGCCTACCTGGAGTCCTGGTCAGGGATACTTCTAGGAAACCTTCCAGTCTGATTCACCCCTCTGGTTATTATCCTTTATTGATAATTCAGGTCAGAAGTGGTGAAGTCACTGAGAGAAGATTGAGAAATACCAAAAGGGACTTCAGAACATTGGAGTGGTTAGTTGATGGAGCAGGCATGCAGGTGGTGTTCTCTATCCCCTTAGTGATAGTGAGGTTTACTGGGGGGACCAGGAAAACCCATCTCATAAACATGTGTCTGAGAGGCTGGTGCAATTGCAGGATTGTTTGTTTGTTTGTTTGTTTTAAACATGGGACAGTTTACTTGGCACCTGGTCTGATATCTTCAGATGGGTCTCGCCTGTCTCAAAGAGGAAATGGATCCTAGCCCAGGAGCTGGCTGCAGTGATTCCAGGGGTTGGTACTGGGGCTTGTCCTGTTCAGTTTCTTCATTTATGATTTCAAAAGGATTGAGTGCAACCTCTGTAAGTTTGCAGATGACATCAAGTTGGCTGGAAGTGTCAATTTGCCTGAGGGTAGGAAAGCCCTACAGAGGGATCTGGGCAGGCTGGATCACTGTACTGAGGTGAATGGGATAAAGTTCAGAAAGACCAAGTGCTGGGCCCCACACTTTGGCCTCAACAAACACATGCTACGGGTTTGGGGCAGAGTGGCTGGAAGTCTGCATGGAAGAAATGGACATGGGCTGCTGGTTGATACTCTGCTAAATGTGGTGCAGCAGTGTGTCCAGGTGGCCAAGAAGACCAATGCCATCTTGGCTTGTATCAGAAACAGTGTTACCAGCAGGAGCAAGGAAGTGATCATTCCTCTGTACTCAGCTCTGGTGAGGCGGCACCTTGGATACTGTGTTTAGTTTTGGCCCCTCTACAAGAAAAACGTGGAGGCCCTGGAGAGGGTCCAGGGAAGGGCAACAAAGCTGTGAGAGGTCTGGAGCGCACATCTTATGAGGAGCAACTGGGTGGTTTAGTTTGGAGAAGAGGATGCTCAGAGGAGACCTTATTGGTCTCTACAGCCACCCAAAGGGAGGTTGAGGTAAGGTGGAGTCCACCTCTTCTCCCATGTGACTAGTGATAGAACTAGAGAGAATGGTCTCACGTTACGCCAGATGAGATTTCAGGCTGGATGATAGGAAAAACTTCTCTGAAAAAATGGTCAGGTGATGGAATGGGCTGCCCAGAGAGTGGGTTGAGTCACTGTCCCTGGTGTGTTTAAGGAATGTTTAGAAGACATAGTTCAGTTGGAAGTTATTGGTGATACGTGGATGGTTGGACTGGATGATCTTGGAGATCTTTTCCAACCTTGATGATTCTATGATTTTATGATTCCAAAGTCATTGATTATAACTTGAATTAATCTTATCAGAATTATGGTGTTCATAACTCTCCAAGATGGAAAGTAAAAATCTGGTTTTGTCTAAAAACAGGCTATCTGCAAAGGGACAAATGACAGATTATCGGCACAAATTCACTCAGCAGAAATTAGACAAAAGTAACCTTCTAATTTACAAATATAAAAACTGTAAGTGATAAATGCAGAAATATTCAATGTTTGTTTAATAATAATAATTTAAAAATCACAATATTTTCCCATTACAGAAGATATATTCTTACTTTCTACAAGAGATGAGAGGAACCCTCTTGTATATGGAGTCTTCACTACAACAAGGTATGTCTTAGGATCATGTTTGCCTTTGGAAACAAATGCAGGAGGTCTTAATCAGGGATGTATTAATTAATGAACCTCTCAGCTATGATATTGAGGTACTTTAAGTAGAATTTTCATAAAGGAAATAAATAATTATTTTGTCTTTGAAACTTTTGAATTAAATATACTTAAGGACAAGGTATGCACTTCACAGTGGAATTACAAAGAAAAATTGCCAATGCACTCCTCAATTAAGAGGTAACCACTATACTGGCTCCACAGTATATATAACCAAATAAAATATTTACAGTTGAATGAATTCCAACACAATGACATAATCATAATACTTCATAAATGACACTGGAACCTATTGAACACTAGAAAAAATAACAGTCTATCAAATGCTCCCAAAAGCTAACAAGTCCCAAAAGCTAACAAGGTATTGTCTGAGCAAAGCTTATTCTTGTAATGACAGTGACACATAATATCTGTAGTTATCAGAGCTGTCCACATTGTCTGTTATTTAGCACCAATTATATTAACTCTCAGGTGTAGGATTGATCGAAAACCCTTCAGACTCAGTGGAATTACTGCACTGATTCACCAGATGAGGGGTGTTCCAGACATGAGCTTACAGTGTGCTTATCAGCCTGTCTTCTTCTCAGCTCTGTCTTCAAGGGCTCTGCAGTTTGTGTGTACAGCATGGCAGATATCAGAGCTGTTTTCAATGGCCCTTATGCTCACAAAGAGAGTGCGGATCATCGATGGGTGCAATACGAAGGTCGTATCCCCTATCCCAGACCTGGTACAGTAAGTGTCTCCTTAATTACATGCTTCTATCTTTACCCAAAGACAATCATGCTTTTCTGTCCTCCATGGACTGTCAATTTATATTTTCCACTCAGGCAGGATGTTTCAAATTATCCTCACAACCTCTCTCTTCTGTTGAGAGCTCAGACTTCTACCTACCCTTTTTCAGGTTATGTATATAAATATGCATTTTCCACTTCTCTGACATAACATTGTGTCCAGACCATTTCCTGATTTTCTCTTTTATTGTTGTCTCCTGCTGTCCAGCTCTATTTCTATCTGTTGGGATCACCTCTGAGGTGCCAACACTTCATAAAAATCAAATCCATGTTTTTATGGAGTATTAAATTATGATTAGATATTTAATTTGGAATCTTGTATTTCTGTTATCTCTGTTAAAATCCCATTTATTGAGATATGGTCATTGATTCTATTCTGTATGTTTGTGCATGTGTTCTGTTTTGATATAAAATACGGAGTTAGTTGCTGCAGACTATGTGATGGAGTAAAAGTGATAGGAAGAAAAGTGAAGTTTAATATCTGGAAAAAATCTGTGATACCTTAGATGCAATGATTAGGCCAAAACAAAGAGGAAAATGTTGAAAGAATTTAGTAAAGAACACTTACTGTACTTTTGTCTTGGTATTAAATTTGGAAAAGCACAGACATACATTGCTGATGAAGAGGAAAACAGTATTTCCAGAAAATGCATTTATTTTTAAAGTGTCAGTAAAACTTTGAGCAACTCTTGGTACATACAATTTGGAAGAGCAGTGGTTTAACAGTAAAACAGCTGTGGGATAGTTTTCTTAGTCTAGTACTCATTTAACTAGTTAGTAGTAAGAAGCAAAACAAATACAGCCAAACTCTGAGCTACTGAGGTTGGGATGCTGCTGGTACCTTGCCTAGAGGCCACTACTTCTCTGACAGCAGCATTACCATAATCATTGCTTAAAGTCCTATTATCTAACTTATTTAGCTTTTCATTTCATTCTTTTCCTTGTTTTTCTACATTTTATTTATTATCCTTCCAATAGATCCAACTGCTTGGTCCAATCCCAATCTGTCTATGGCACTTGGTTGTTCATAGCACAGGTCATGCTGTGTGCTCTGATTCCCTTCTCTCAGCTTCAGACTGGTGGGAAAGGAAATATTTCCATAAAGAGTAAGACAGCTCCAGCAATTGATTCAAACTGCCTAGAATCTGCATTACTGGAGCAAATAAGATCCTAATTTAGACGCTTACGCATCTCTCTCCCATGCAGAATATATGGCACCCCCAGAAAAGAAGATTACATTTAATTCTTCTATTATTATTTTTTCAGCATGTGCAACTCCATTACTGGTTTAGAAGTGCAGATGCGTTTAGTTTTAAGTACAAAAATGGTGCCAGTGAGAACAATAGCTGGTCCCATGGCATCTAAAGAGATTAAAATAGCTCTCTTGAAAACCTTTCAGTGCCCCATAAGGATGAACACTCAGCACAGATAGACGGGTCATAAGCTCATTGCATTTTTGAGTGTATTAGCCATCACATGGTTGAGCTGGGATTCGCAAGGAAGGAAATGTCATGCTGGAGCATGTCAGCGCTGATCTTTATCGCTGATTTGAATATCCATGCTCAACAAGTATTTTCAAAGTTGGAAAGTTTAAAGAAAATGGATATTTTCCGTAAGCCGCCCCTTAAATCTCTAACGGCTTCCCTTAAGCACTTGATAACAGCTATGAGAAAATGGTCTCATAAAAATCCTTAGGAACTCTGGATTTCTGTAGGAGTTTGTCTGACCACAAGCTGAGAAGGGGAGTGGATTTTGCTGAAACAAGATCTCTGAAGAAAGATATCTGTAATGTTTACTATGTAGATAAGGTAAATTTATTACTACATTTGTCTTAGTGAGCCAGAATAGTCTCAGACTGAAACAAACTTCAGGTTTGGTGGTTTAAGATAGCATACCCAAAGAAGAATTAGATTCATGCCATTCATTTTGAAGTAAGCTAGGCCAAATGTCTGAATCTGAGCAGGTTTAGGCTGAGATCTAAAAAAGCAACACAGTGTTTGAAGGCAAGGAAAAGAAGCAGCACACTATGTGCCCACAGAGTGCTGCAGTGTGTCTGAATGCAAAAGTGCTCTTTTAAGATTAATTTCACCATTTCTTGCCAGCTATGGGGTGATTCAGGAATGCTTAGAACAAAGCCAGAGGGATAATCTGTCCATTTCTTAAAGTTACTGGAGCATTTTTGAAATTTAAGCTTTACTTAGTGCTATAGTGTTAGCTACAGCTTAGCATAGTCAGCACTGCCCCTATTTTCTATTTCTTGTATTTGAAGTTACTGGCAAAGTCTAAAAATGGCATTACTAGGAAATGCTTTTCCTTTGATGTTTTGCTTTAAGGGAAGAATTGACTTCCTTTCAGCATTTACACAGAAGCAGGAGACTGCTCACCCTAATTTAACTTCTGGCTCAGCTGCCTTTATCTCCTAAGTAAACAAAGCTGTTCACTATAGAGGCTGCGACCACTTTGATATTGAAATTTTGACAAAATGCTTCCTGCGGCAATTTGTGTTGGAGATAAACTCTCAACATGGCTGTGATGTCATACCTTGCTGGTGCTGAGCATCTTGCAGGTGATGCAGTGAGGTCTGCCTGCCCTCTGGTGTCCGCAGGACCCTGAATGGGCTGCCTGCTGCTCAGGTGCAGCACAATGTGCAGCTCTTCTTTCCAACTTCTCTTGGCAGTATTAAAGAGCACGTGGATGTCATATAAATTTAATGGAGACAAAGCTTGAAATCTCTTCCAATTTGGATAAAAAAAAATAAATTAAAAAAAATAACATGCAGCAGGCAGCCCTGGTATATAAAGGGCTGTTTGAAAATCAAGAGAGCTTTTGCTTTATCTTCCTGAGCTGTTTTAAAATTGGACTTGTGTATCTGCAGCTGTCCCCTGATAACAGATCCAGTTTTCTTCCAGTCTCTTAGGATTTCACCAAGGAAATTATCCTTTGATAAAGGAGTCATCAGGCACTTCCTGTAAAATGTGTTCCTGGATTCTGAAATAGAGTTTACATAATGTCCTCCCAGTCATAACAGAAGACATTTGAACAAGAATTTCAGTGAAGTGGAAGAAAACTGTTGTAGTATACTTATACATCTGTAAATATTGTAGTATCAAAAGACCTCACACTGTGTATATCCTATTTGGAAATTCTGATGGGGTACACAGGAACCATCGTCATTTCACTGACAGTGAACAAATGTCACTGTCATATTTTGAACAGAATCTTAGTGTTTAAAGATGCAGGTTAACAGTCTGCTCTACCACAGTGCCAAGGTATTTAATTGCAATTCAAGGAAACATTGAATACAGTGAGTCTGGATTTCTAACTAACTGATTTGCCAAAAGTCCCCCAAAAAAGATCTGAATGAGCAGAGTAAGAATCTTGCATCTAATTGTAGTCTTAGCTACAAGAAGCATCCAGCACAGCAGCCACTGCTTTTCTTCATTTGTACTTTGTATCTTGCCTCATCCCACTTCAGATCAGAATACTGAGATCCTGTTTTCTTTTAATTCTTTTAATATTTATTTGAATAAATTACTTAATTATTTCTTTTTATTCTCTTATTTAATTTTTTTTTTAAAAGTTTCTGTGTCCTCGGATCCTTCTGTGATCTTTCTCACCTTTCTCTTTTGTTTTTTTTCTCCCTTTCCTAAGTGAAACCTCTTTGTTGGTTTTTTTGTTTTGTTTTGTTTTGTTTTTCTGCTAACTCAGTGCACAGGCTGATGGAGGTGTGTTGTCCATCCCACTGGGACTTGGCTGAGCCACTGAGAAATACTGGCTGCCAAAAGCCTTCCCTTGTCCTCATGTCTTGTTAGTTTTGCTGTTTTAATAAGAGTGTACATAAAACATTGAGGGTTGCACAGGTTTCCCTTGTTATTTTTAGACTTATCTTCCTCTTTCACCTGATCTTTTATGGGATAGACTGCATTCTTTGCTTCTCCAATTCCTGTCTCCTTTGATCTCCACACTGTAAATGGGTCTGGTTAATTAAGTGAAATGTTTCACTTTATGGGCTTATTTTCCTGAGAGAGTCTCCTCCACCTCCTCCTACGTACCAACACGTTTTCTCGAACATGAATCACCTCTCAATTCATTGCAGCCTTTCAAAATGCTGTGAACTCAGTCACCTCTCCAGCTTGCAGAGGTCAGCAGAGAATTGCAGTGTGCCACCTGCAAAGTCAAGTTCACTCACCTAGCTGCCTCCTATGGTTATATACACATTAATGGTTTCTTATGTCAGCCTTTGCTGTCAGCCACACAGGTGTGTTAAATGGAAGAGTGATACAGAGGGTTCAATACAATCACTGTAATAGGATAGAACAAATCTCATACATCCAGTGGAACACAGTCTCTTTGTAAAAAATGTCTCTATTTACTGTGTAGCTCTGATCAGACTGTAGAGAAAAAGCCACAGACTGTTTAGGACACTTAGAAACCAAGTTTTTTTTCTTCAGAATGGCTGAGTCTCTGACAGTATGTGAGTGCCTAAGCCCCAAGAGCCATTCCTTAGCTGCCATCTATACCACAGAAAGTCCTTAACTACAAGTATCCAATTTTCTGAGGTAGTTCTGGGCATCACACCAGTCCTTGGCATTACATCCTAGTCCCTCAGTCCTCAGATTCTGCATTTCTCACTGAACTTACAATAGATTCACAGACTCATAGAATGGCTTAAATTGGAAGGGATGTTGAAGACCGTCTCGTTCCAATACTCCTGCCACGAATAGAGTTGCCAACTACCAGATTAGGCCACCCAAGGCCTCATCCAACCTGGCCTGGAACACCTCCAGGTATGGGACATACACAGTGTCTCCATACAGTCTTTGTCAGTGCCTCATTACCCTTTATATGCACATAAAGCTCAATTTGTTCAAAACAGTAGTGACTAGCTGAAAGTAATTCAATTTTTCCACTTTTTGCTTGGTAACTATAGCAGAACTCATT